CAGTTACCAAAGAAACTTTCAGTTCCCCATTTGTTCATCGAGCCGATCCCCGTGGCCGCGTGGTCTAAGGCATGAACCGTCTTCGCCTATTCGAACATTGGTTTTGTGGAATCGAATCCCACTCGAGGCATGGAGATCTGTGTGCTTTTATTCTCTGTTTGTGTTGTTCTGTGTGTAGATAGCGGCCTTGTGACGAGCTGATCCCCCGTCCAAGGAGTTATATCGACTGTGTATAGGATTAAGAAACCGAAAAAACGGCCAAGTCCACAAAAGGCTGTAGAGCCATAGATAGAGCTGATCATCGACTCCATGTGGAGGCGGGTAGGAATACCTCCACCGTAGCCCTGCGGGTCGTAGAAGGCGACGAAAAGGGAACCCGGTGCCTGGGGGCGTAACTAGGCCACCCTATCCCTGGGAGACATAAATACCTCCTCGTCCAGGTTGTAGGTTGGACACAAGGGTAAAGTCCTTGTTCTGTAAAACAATACTGTTGCCAAATCTAAAGGAGTGAGACCGGGTGCAGTCTGGCAGAATCATCTAAGGAAGGCTATGGCTCAGAAAGGGCTGTTTTGCCGATAATGATGATGATTTGTTCATTGTCTTCTGTTTACACTCATATTCTCCCAAAGTCTCAGTAGAATCCAGTGCATAACTTGTTGCCAGAACTACACTCCTACTGATATTTCCCGATACCGTTCTTGCCTGAACGTCATACTCTGACAGTGAACTCACCGCATTAAGCGCGCTTCTGGACGAGGAGAGGGATGTGTGTGTTAGGATTTTATAAGCGTGTTTTCTTTAGGTTGTGATTTTAATTTTATTTATATAAAAAGTTCCTGTCAATTGTTTCTGAGTAGATTGTAGACAATCCGCGTAATTATATCAGTTTAAATACCTCATTTACAATGGGAAAAATTTTATAATATTTACGCTTTCTTGATTTTCTGCTTGATTAGATTTCAGGCATCCGCTCAATTGTACAGAAATTGGTTTTTGCCGTTTTAGATTGTTTATTTGTATTTTAGGCTATTGTTTTACCCCAATCTACATAATTACTTTTCTCCGCAAGATCAATTTTATTCGCCGATTAACCACATCTCCAAAGAAATTAGTTGGCACGCGTGTATTTTAAGATCAAGGCCAGCTGACACCAAATAAAGCGCGTTCCGACTCTAGCCTTGGAAAAAATAGAGAGACGGAAATACAATAGGATGTGGGCCACTGATAAACTCTGGCGTGTTTACAAAGATTTTACCAAGGAATTTTTATCCCATGATAAGCTCCCTTATCCACCCACTACAACCATGTATGTTACTATTAGCCATGCCTCATATTTTCCCTCTCACAAATATCAAATAAAAATGACATCAGTTCACGAGGCAGCGTAGTTGGTTGAGGCACTAAGCTACAAGCAGGAAGGTCGCGGGTTAGATTCCCGATGAGGTTATTAATTTTTCAATTTACCTAACTCTTCCAATCACAGTAGGGCCTTAGGGTCGACTCAGCCTCTAACAGAAATAAGTACCAGGAAGATTCCTGCGTGAGTAAAGGGCGGCAGGTGGGTAAGGCTGACAACCTTACCCTCATCTGTGAGCCGATTGTCTAGAAGGTGTGGGAGCCTCGACCTTTCACACCCCTATGGGCATCCACGGCCTCTTACAGGGACAGCTTTACCTCTTTGCCATCTTCTGGGATTTTCAACGGACTACACGGCGTTATATCCCAGAAGATAGTAGTCATCATAATCACAGCTGTCAGAACATCAAACGTTACATATGTTGAGAATCTTGTAAATTCATTATAAAAGCAGACGATATCTATTTATACGTTCAATTTACGTCATATGTGTGTGAAAATGAACATCAAATACACTTTAGTATTTCAGTAATCCCAGTGTATTTCGATGTTAGGTTACAAAGAGCAGGGTTCTATTATAACGCTTGTAGGCGACATTTATGAAATAGTATATGTCTCTCTATGGTTCTATAGCCCTTGTGGGTCTGGGGCTTTTTCAGTTTTTTAGTCTAGACACATCCGGTAGGACTCCTTGGACGGGGATCAGGCCGTCGCAAGGCCACTACCTACACACAGAACAACACAAACATAAAGAATAAACGCACACAGATATATATGCCTCGCGTGGGATTCGAACTCGCGATCCCAGTGTTCCAGCGGGCAAGACGGTTCATGACTTCGAGCGCGCGGCCACTGCAATATGCACTTAATACGTGTATGTTCAGTACTGAAAAAACGTTCTTAAATTATACACGAAAGGAACCAGTAATACAATTGTTTAATTCTTTACAATTCCTTAGAACCTTGTAGCCTTCGTAATTGCAGTAAGCTGAAGTTATACCGGGAGAAAGAATTACCAGCTTCTTGCAACAGTTTTTCCTGAGAAACTGACAGTCTCTCGGCGAGTCACTAAATTCCCCGCTTTTCATGGAACCCAAAAGTTCATTACTATGTTCACAAGAACAAGCACGCCCCTGAATCCTATGTTAAATAAGATGAATCCAGTACACATCTCACGCATAATTTCCATTTTAATATTATCCTACGGTATATGCCGAGGTCTCCCAAGTGATTTCTCTCCTCCGGGTTCTCCGATACTAGAATTTTATGTGCATTTCTTATATTATCCATTCCAAATTTGATCAAATTTATATATACATGTATATATAATTTATTTATTCATTCGTGGTGAGGAGAGACTGAGCCCACTTGGTAAGACGGGTATTACTGGGCATACTATATCAGCCGCGGGTGATAGACGAGAGAAGTGGAACATTTGGTGGAATGAGCATTGGCAGCGAAAACCGATGCACTACGAGAAAATCTGCTCCACTAACACAAATCCCACATAACCTCTCTTGGGATGGAACCCGGGCCACCGTAGTTCGAAGTCGGCGATTAACAGCTTGAGCTAAGTCATGGCCAAAATAAAAAGAAAACTGTACGAGTGATTTTAATCTGAAAACAACTTTAGTATTCGTAATATGAACACAGATGCTGAAAACCATTTTCGAAGTTACTAATTTCTGACTACAGATTATAGTTTTGCTTCGAACCGCGGACGGAAACAGATATCTTCGTGAACGGAATATAATATAATGCTGAAAGACACATAACTAATGAAGTTGATTTAGTAACTTTGTTCAATTGTCTTTAATACGCAAGAACATTTGTTCATATTTCCTAAAATCGCGTGTAAATTGATCGACCGTTAAGATACACATTTCAGCATAAAATGATGTTAAAACTGTCCTTGTAACAGGTCGTGGAGGCCCACAGGTTTGTGAGACATCGAGGCTTCCACACTTTCTAGACAATCGGCTCACAGATGGTGAGGTTGTCAGCCTTACGTGCCGGCCGCCCTTTACCCCCAGGAAGATTCCTAGTACTCATTTCTGTTAGAGGCTGAGTCGTAGTGCGGCTGGAAGCATTAGGTCAATTGAAAAATCCGATGACCTTACCGGGAATCGGGCTTGTAGCATAGTGCCTCAACCAACTATGCTACCGCGTGCTCACACATTTCAGCGTAGCAAACAAAGAACCGTGATCAAGTTTTCAAGCATGCACCAGTGTCTGGACTGTCCATTAAAAATATCTTACAAGAAAGAGAAATCTTTTAAATTTTTACGAAATTTCTGCACTATTACCCTGCTTAATGCCTCGCCTTTCACTTACAGCTTTTTAATGACGCGAGTTTGAAGAAATAAATTCACACACACACAAACTATCAAGTGCGGATTTAACTGGTATTACCTGGTAGATATTACAGTGAATTTATGCTCGACATACTGAACACTCTTAGGTATCCTTAAAAACATACAAGAGACTAATTTTCGCTGTTCCGTGGATATGCTGGAAGCAGATGACGGCAGCAATAAAGGTCGGTGGAAGGTACGCTTGAGTCGGTATTGCAGTGTCCACCTTTGCCGAACAGTTCATAGTTTGCCTGCAGATGGCAGCACCGTGTAGTACACATTCTACTAAGTTTAATTTCTTAGTATAAACGCAGTTTTCTCAGAACCCTTTAAGTTCACAACGTGTATATTCAGTGAAATCCTCAAGGACTATACTATGTAAGAAGATTCCTGTGAAATAAGTACAGGTGAACGTAAAAATTATTGAAATTTATATAATTTCTCTTACATAAAAGTATAACCAATAATATATCGTAAAATTTTAAAGTGAGCTTGCAAACTGCTTCATTCAAGCAAAGTTTGTCTTTAATGGCTAAAAACGCTGTACCTGCACATAAATTGCTCCAAAATCAATAATGACGTTGATGACCACATGAATTCCCCTTTGTAATTTTAGGGCCTTTATTCAAGTACTGCACTAATATATATAAGGCAATGATCAATATTCGCCTAACCCATGCATACACAAACAGCAAAAACCAGTAGAAGCTACAGTGTAAGTATACAGGGCACACTCCACCTTTCGTATACTAATAATAATCAGTGGACCGTGGAAGTATAAATCACGAAATATACGTATGCATATTTAAAATACCTGACACAGTGTATCATGTCCAACATAATTAGGCGAGTCTATGCACAATACACTATACCCTATCCAATACAACAGCACTGCAATGAATAGGCAATTAGTGTATCATGTTCAACATAATTAGGCGAGTCAGAACGGCCGTGGGGATTCGTTGCGCTAACCACGCGACATCCTCTATCCGCAAAAGTTGGCACTAAGATTCGCCGACAAGCGGCGGTCGCTCGGTCGGTATGGTTCGCTTGCGGACTGAAATCACGGAGTTTATGGACAATAAATACACTATACACTATCCAATACAATAGCACTGCAATGCATAAGCAATTATCACAAAACTGCAACTCAAGCAAGGAAGTATGGTAATGAGGGTAATGTCGCAATCTTCATGCCGATACTTTTGACGTGTCAAGAATAATGTGAAGTACCAGTTCTAATGTACCCGTAAAAGTCTTCAGATTTTCACTGGAAAAAAATGACCTTACCTGGAATCGAAAGTTGTTCCATCTTGAAGAGTTCCTTTATAATGCATCGTAAGCATATCACCGTTCTTGGACTTCGTAGTGCATACCTCTGGTGTGTACAAGATTTCGTTCTTGAGTTTTTCCGTTGTCTCAGAACTTGTGCTTTCACTTGCTGAATTTTTCTCAGAGGATCCGTCCGTAGCTGCGATTACCGTTGTTACAACGGTAAACAGTAACAAACACGTTGCCACAGGACTTCGGCTGACACACGAGAATATTTCCATGATGTCTGTTGACGTGTTTCGAGGCGAACACTTGTAGCACAGAGAGCAAACACGCAACAACACCGCTTCTCGTGAAGTAACTGCCACGCTACAAGCCTGCTTGTTGCTTTTCATGGGCAATTCTCCCACCTCTCCGCCAGCTCTCCTCTCTCTCCCCAAAGCGTCAGACACTACGTAACAACACTCCATACGCTCCATACTGTAGCACGGTGCTAACTCCACCGACGTGAATACAGGAACAGGAGAATGTACAGATTTCTCGAAATAATAGGGACATCTAAACGAAGGGGCCGGGATAGCCCAGTTTGTTCATGACCGGGCTACTGCGTGTTCGAATCCCGGCAGAGGTAGAGATTTTCTCTTCGCTGTCATGTTCAGACCGGGTCTGTGACCCACAAAAACTAACCAATGAACACTGCGGATCCATTTCCCGGGGGTAAAGCGGCTGGGGCACGAAGCTGACCTCTCACTTCTATTCTGTGTCGGGGTTTACGAATTCGTGGACATACAGCCTACCTCCATTCCTCCATACATCTTCAAGACGAGATGCTTAATCAAGCACAGGATCAAATTTCACAATACAATCATTCGTTACCACTCATTCATATTAATACTGACTCTTTGTTTCCACGGAAGCATATGATGAATCCATAATGATTAGTCCTATTCAAATGTTTCACCTCCACAATTAATGAAGTGGTTTCCGTTAAACTATTGCATTGTTAATCTGCACTGAAAGTTGTCTATTGAATTTAATTTTGGTTTATATATATTGAATATGTGGGTCTATACATCCATCCCCCATACGCCTTCATGGTGTAGTGCTTAATTTGTTAAGTACAGGGACAACTTTACCTTACCTTTACAAATTTTATAAACACTTGCTTAACGTCAAGTTCAAATCAATCTTTACGTACTACTAATAACTGGTAGAAGAGCTAAGATAAATTAAATTAACTTTAATAAGAGAGCAAGAGTTAGCAACTAAAAGCTTACTTACCACCTCTTCTAGAGTCTCTAATATAGTCTTCCCATTCCTTGAGTTTACGAGTAATTGGGTTTATATATCCTTCATCTTTGCATTTTTCTTAATTTGATATACATTGCTTCATACAAGAAGAAACTTTACTCTTAAAATTGTAGCAGGATACTTAAGACACGTTAAATGGTAAACGACTCTGGAAACGTCCAATCGTTGCAGGGTTGCTTGAAAGAGGAAAGAGAAGCGGACAACAGAGAGAACTCCAGCACACTGGGCGGATGAACTTTTGCTGGGCGACATCGTCTATTGTCTCGTTATTTCACAATTTACTTAACATCAGTTTCTAAACCGCAGGCCACAAGGTGCGTAATGCAGGGTGGCAGTGAATGACGAAACGAGAAATATGTGAAAGATGCCGTCGCAACCTCTTTAACGCATTTTCGCAAATTTCTCCTGGACTTAAGAAAATACCTCAGTCACAGGACCGAGAACCGAACTTGGAACCTTCCAAATCCGAAGCAAGACTAAACCACTTAACTGACATCTTCGGTGTGGTTTTCTATACTAGTCCGCCAAGAAGTTTGGATCCCTTCTTGCGAACTGATTGTTAACAAGTTTGTCACTTCCAATCTTAAATCTACATTTAGTAGCTTATCGTGTTGAAGAACTTTCGGACATGCATGTTAAACCTGGGAGTCACTTATATAAACTGAGGCTTGTCAGTCTAAATGCCCGTCTGTAACCACGGGTTTGAAAGACTTCCAAATTGGCGCTAAAATCAATAAGCGTATTCAAAGGACATAAAGAAGAAACTGTCCTTCTTCTCAAGGTATAGAAAAAAATGGCACTGTTAAAGAGAAGGTAACTTTGTTCCAGTGCTTAATTATTTAATCATCAAGCCATGAAGACGCATGGGGGAGTGAACGTACAGTTCCACCATCCTCGACCTCGACACTGGATGGAGGCGGGTTGTCAGCTTCACACCTTGGTCGCTTTACCAACGGGGGAACAGACCCCGGAATTCATCGGATTGGAGATAGGTTGGACTCCAGAGCCGGTCTGGACGCTATGGAAAAGAGAAAAATCTGTTCACCCTGCCGGGAATTGAACCCCGGCCGTCTAGAGCGTAGCCCGTCGCTATACCGACTGAGGTATTTAGGCGCGAAAAAGAGAAAGAACTATATGGAACATATAATTCTAAATTACTCACACATGACGAATTTACCGAGGACCGAAATCTTTTGAAGCTATATCTCGTAATTGGAGACGCACGCAAAGCATAAAATACCCCGACAAATATATGACGACTGTTACTCTGGACTCCTATGATTTTAAGACAAGCACTAACGTCGCTGTACAGCGTCTTCCTTCACATGTTGCTTTTATAGTAATGGAAAACTCATCTTGTTCCTCAGATTTTTGGTAGGGGAAACGGCTTCCTTATATGCCGTATATCCGTGAATATGCGCATCCGACAGGGAGGGAGGATCCTCAAGTTTCGCAATTCGGCGTGAGGCCAACAACCAGCCAGAGAATAATAATAATAAAAAAAGAATAGTGTTTTGTAGATTTGTCATAGAGCATGAAACTTAAAAGATCATTTGGCATGACGATCTTGAGGAAGCCGCGTCAAGGTGTGCAATGCATTCCAACTGCCTCAGGACAGGATCTTCCGAGAACACTGACGTGTAAACGACATAAATAAACTTGATACTGTTTTGCTGTTAGGCCACTTTACACTCTGACACATATCCATTCGTAATTATCTGCATACTGCATTCCATCGAGCGATGCAATCTGATTCTTATCCAGACGGATAAAGCCACCGATAATGGCGTGCCTCTAAACCCACTCTCTGTTTCCCTCTCACACACATAGAGCTAGATTATAGTTGTAATTACTGCGATACGTTGACAAATGGTTCGATTCCCGATGAGTTCATTGATTTTTTCAATTTACTTAATCCTTCTAGCTGCACTATGACCCTGGGTTCGACTCAGCCTTTAACAGAAATGAGTACCAGGAATCTTCCTATGGGTAAAGATCCCCCGGCGCGTAAGGCTGACAGCCTCACCCCCATCTGTGAACCGATTATCTGGAAAATATGGGATCCTCGACGTCTCATAAACCTATGGGCCTCTACGGCCTCTTACAGGGATAGCTTTACCTTCTAACGTTGGTAAATGTTGGCTTTGGATTTCAAAAGTAAGAGACACATACAAAGTTATACTGAGGAAATGTCATGGAAAGGGAACATGTATTAGAGCTTCATGGACGGAGAACCGTATATAAAGCCGGGTTCAGACGTGTTGCGTATCCCCGTATTGTATCTCCGTGGCGTATCATCCGATGCAACGGGACAAAATTTTGCATCCAGACTTGTTGCATATCTCCGTTGCGTATCAACCGATGCAAGGCGGGGAAAACAAACAAAAAAAAAACAGCCCGTTGCGTATCACCGTATCAACATTTTGCAACGGAAGGATGATACGGGGTACTGTCCACACTGCTACGATACGAAGATACGCAAGAAGTCTGGACCCGGCTTAAGAGATCTAACAGTTTTATGAAAATGCGAACTAAATTCGATCAAGTCACTTGGAATTCGTTTCTGCAGACGATATTTTGCATCTAGCTTGCAATACCAGCAAGTCAGTAAACCATCAGCCAGTTAAGCAGCAGTCTGTTCTTGGGTCAGCCCGTCAGTCAGATTGTCGTTCAATTATTCACGCACTCGTTCATTCTTTAGCAAAATTTGTGAGCATGGAAGTTAAGTCAGTCAGTAAACAAAGTAGGAAATCAGGCAGTCACAATTTGGTTAGGCATTCTGTGTGCCTTACAGGGTCTTCATCTCAAAGTGCGAACCCGTTGCGGCCCATGACAGCAATCTGTGGTGAGCTCCATCCCGAAGTTTGGCAGCAGCCTAACCGAGAGTAAACACCACACATAACCCATTTTCAAAAGCTAGTCGTTGGCGTCTCTTTTCTTTCGCCCCCATCATCTTAGCTGAGTTGCTTTTCATCGTAGCTCGCTGTGACGTCACCATTAGTCCAGTGAACAGAAGATGACGTTGGAGCCCAGTGACGTGCACGTTGGCTTAGCCAATCAGTACTCGCCCTGTGGACTGAAAACTTGTCTTTCCGTTACTCTACGTGGCCTTCGCTCTCTCCTTCACCCAGTATCTCTTTTTTCTTTTTACAGTGTGCGGAGTGAGGATGAAAGTGACATATCGCCCAAAGTGATACATTTACGAGTACAAATTGAGCACTCCGTTTGATGTTGGATCTCATATGTTGATTGCTTGCTGGTTGCTTGGCTTACTTTTCTACCCTGGAGATGGGGGCAGTTTGTGCCTTCAAAACGTGATGAACTTCTGATAGACTACACGACATAACATCTCGGAAGATAACACACCTCATGGTCATCGTCGAGAGAAAATCTGATGTTACAAGTGTTTGTTTTGCTTTGTCTGTCCTCTTCATTTACAAAATCATATTATTACATAATCATACATACTTATGTAAGTAGTATGAGAAAGTACTGTGATGCTGAAAAAATTGGTCTAGAGCTTTTAAAGGATTTACATGTTTTTGGCACACCTGATTATGAAAATGTCTTAAACCTGTTAAGAAACGATATTGTCGTGTTAAAAGAAATGACTACATAATTTGAATGGATTTCCATGTTTTCAGTTCCCTCGTGAATTGACCTAATCCCTCCAGCCGCACTGACTCTGGGATCAACTCAGCCTCTAACAGAAATGAGTGCCAGGAACCTTCCTATGACATAGGGCGGCCGGCGCGTAAGGCTGACTACTTCACCGCCATTTGTGAGTCGATTGTCTAGAATATGTGGGAGCCTCGACGTCCCACGACACTATGGGTCTCCACGACCTGTTACAGGGATATCTGTTTTTATTACATTTCCCTTGTAAATAAGAAAAAGTGGTTCTTGAGTTGTCATCGGTCTGCATGTGTGCGGATGTGAGGCTCATTTGTGAACAGATTTTTAATCATACTCGGTCACACCATACGCAAATTTATGCGAATTTCACTGTGCCCGAACTGGCGCCTCGGTGTGAAACTGAAGTAGTAGCACTGCAAGTGAC